ATCGTCCATGATGGGACTCAGGTTCCAAAGCGCGCTGCCCTTCTCTATCTTATCGCCTGCCTGCAGGGAATGATATTCATCCGGGAAGGCTTCCATTTGCACCGCTCGGACGAAGCACATTTCAGCTCGTTCAAGCTCGTTTACCTTTAAATTCCCATAAGCTCGCAANACAAATCTCAGTGTCCAGCTGACTACTCTCTTAAGTTTCAAAAAACATGAAAATTTCTTTAAAAAATTTGTATCAATTTGTATTAAAAGAAACGTAAATTTATTTCGAAGTTCCACATTGGTAGCGTCGCATACTACGTTCGGTGGCCAGTTTTTTTCTTCTTCTTTGAGGAATTTCGGTCCTGTTAACCAAAAAGATTCGCGCTTACGATCTCTAGGGCGTGTCCCAAAGTCCGCAGGATTGAGGGCACTCGGCAGCCATCTCCATTCGTCTAACTCGCTATTTTCCAGGATTTCGTTGACTCGATGCGCTACATAAGGCTTATAACGTCGGTGATCTGATTTTATCCAGGCTAGAACGGTTTTCGAGTCCGACCACATCACTACCTTGACCGGGACCTTATCATGGCTGTTGACAACATTTTGTCTAAGGCGCGCAGCGAGCACTGCCGACTGCAGCTCAAGGCGAGGAACGGATACGAGTTTGATAGGAGCACATTTGGTCTTCCCAGCGATGAAGCACGTTCGAGTGTTGCTGCATTCATCTTGAAGCCTCCAGTAGGCTACAGCTGCATATGCCGACTCGCTTGCGTCCGAAAACACATGCGNGGAACGGATACGAGTTTGATAGGAGCACATTTGGTCTTCCCAGCGATGAAGCACGTTCGAGTGTTGCTGCATTCATCCTGAAGCCTCCAGTAGGCTACAGCTGCATATGCTGACTCGCTTGCGTCCGAAAACACGTGCAGTTCTACTGGCATTAGCATAAATGTCGCTCCGTAGCAGCGGGGTACAGTTATCTTCTCCAATTCCCGCAGCGCTTCAAGCCACCTTCTCCAGTTCTCATATACCGCATCTGAAACTCTCTCGTCCCAGCCTTTACGCTCTCGCCACATCGCTTGCAGGATTAGTTTCGCTTCTAAGGAGTATTCCGTTGCTATTCCAAACGGATTAAAGACAGGCATTGTTAAGCTGAGCATCTCGCGTTTTGTTGGTTTCCTTTCCTTGTTGAAAACATCCCGATTCACCTTCCCAAAGGACAGCACAAACTTTAAGGCATCTTCCTCGGTATTCCGGGACATCCCGAGCACCTTCTGAAACAGCTGGGCGTTTTCCCTATCAAGGTTCAACATAGGCATGGAAAAGGGTTCTTTATTTAAATTGCTAATGACCTCAGAGTTAGACACGAACCTTTTCAGTTCAAAACCACCTTTTTTATGGATCCGAATTACCTGGCTCGTTATTCTCAGGGCATCTTCTTCGCTAGAGAAACAATGTACAAAGTCGTCGACATAGTGGTTATTTTTGATGGCTGCCACTGCTTCAGGGAACTCCTCAAAATCGTCAGCGTTTTTGTTCTTTACGAACTGCGCTGAACACGGCGAGCATGTGGCTCCGAAGGTCATCACATTCATTACATATTCATCCAAGCGGGCCTCAGGATCGTATCACCATAAAAATCGTTGTGACGACAAGTCTTCATCTCGAATCTTCACCTGGTGGAACATCTCCACTATGTCGGCGCAAACTCCGATTTGTTTTTGCCTAAATTTCATTAGCGCCGTTCCCAGCGGCTGCAATAAATCTGGCCCACTTAACAGTGCCGAATTCAACGACACCCCTTCTGACTCCGCTGCTGCGTCAAACACTAACCTGATTTTCGCGGGCTTATTTGGATTATACATGGCGAAATGAGATAAATACCAGGTACGCTTGTCTTTGACTGCTGCCTCCTCTTCACTTAGTTTACTGGTGTATCCTTTCGCCACATACCCTGCTATAATCGTCGCATATGCTTTTTTCAAATCGTCGTCGCGTTTAAATTTTCTCTCTAGTGCGTAAAATCTCTTTTCTGCCATCTCCCTACTTGCCGGCAACTCTATGTTATCATCCTTCCACAATAAACACGTTTCAAATTGGTTTCCGTTGCGCTTTGTATTCTCCTGCAACAGTTTCTTTGCCCTCACAATATCTTCGGCTTCAATCACCTGTTTCACAACACCTACGCCCATGCTTTCGTTGATTATGTAATCATGGATGAGGTCCTCCAGCTGAGAAGTTTCGCCCGCTTCACTCACTCGCGCAAACATTGTATGGTAACGCGCCTGGTTCAATGGACGTCCCTCTGATCCGTAGATTACCATTCCGAGTTTTGTCAGCACCACCGCATAACCTCTGCTACCGTCGTGGTACTCCAAGATACGCATTGTCCAATGCTATCAGGAATTCGGGCACAGCGCCAGAATACTCGCGTAGTGGCAGATGTTGATTCTTATAGTAAAGGTCCGACAGGCTTATCGACTGCATTGGCAATTGGAGATTTGAAACCGTACGCACGTTTCGCATATTAAACTTCTTGCTACCTCGCTCAAT